TAGTCAATAGAGAGAAGGCCTCACATCAAGCTAAACAGCTGTTGCCAGTTATAGATGATCTTTCTCGGCTTGCTTTGTATTTGTCTCAGGCATTGACTATGTCTCAGGGCACTCGGGCAAAACCCCCCAGCTAGGGAAGTTGCAGCCTTGCAAAGCGTACTTCCCTTGACGTTTCATGTGCTATATTCAGCGTTCTTTTGATCAATCAATTTTCTGCTGGTTATTTGTCAGTTGGTTAAGCTATTAGCCCGAGTTCCAGATTAGATGCGTTGGCTGTGAAACTCTTTGAAGTCAAAATCATAAAGTTGGATAATTTGGCTTTATTTTAGTGCTATTTAGACGTTTACAGTATTGCCTGGACGCTCTCAGCAGTGGCGGGCAGGCTACCCTTTGACCCACCGGGAAAGGCAAGCAGAAGGGCGCCAATAGGTGTTTAAGTTGCTTATTTTTGGGGCTTGCAAAACGGGCCCGAAAAAATTTTGCCTTAACTGAGAATCAGTTTGTTGCAAACATTGCCATAATTCATCTTTAAAACCCTTTGCAATGGACAACAGAATGAGAGAACTAGGTGGGAAATGAAACGGGGGCTCAGGGGCTTGCCCCCGGAAAATTTTTTGAAAACACCCTATTTAGAATGTCGGAACATGTCACATGTTGAATATCAAAGTTTTTTATCCACAATCGGCATTGACATGAAGAAGACTCTCTACGCGGCTGGTAAAATTTTTAGGTATCAAATGACGTATTGTCCTCAATTTAATGTATCAAATGATGATATCAAATGATAGATTTTGAAAGTTGGACTAAAACCCAAAGCCCGTTTTTCAGTTAGCGAGACACTCCCTTCCAAGATTTTATAAAGGAAGCAGCTTCTCTGGCCTAGGAGACGATATTATTTTTGATTAAACTCGATCTCGAAATCTTAAGAAATTTGACGAAATATATGACTTCGTTCTCATCAAATGGTAACAAAAATTTTTTTGAAAGTTTTGCAGCATATCATTGAGAAATGTAAAGGGGTGCCTCAGCACCTGCTAGCCTGATGAATGTGTTGCTCCTGCCTCCACGCTACAGTTACATATCATTTACAAAAATATGATGCCAGTTCATCAGCGTGCGGAATTATGATCAGGTGTTGAACATGTGCTCGAACTGGAGACTTGTCTGAAAGATATATGATAACATATCCTGGACAAATGGATTTTAAGAGATCTTGCTGCCATCCTAAGAGATTTTGCAGATTGATGGCTCCTTCGGTATGAGAAACTGTGCGTAAACATGGTAAAAGGATAAATAATTTCTTGAGGAAAGGCACCGTCTCTATTCCGGGACAAAGGTTTGAAGAAAGATTGGAATACTTTAATAGCTAGTTGTAGCTTTGAGACCAGTTTTAACTAAACAGCCGATTTAACTTTCCATTAAATCTTCTAGAAGGTTCTTACATTAGGGCATCAATCTCAACAAATTCTGAATGAACTTTCTGGATTTTTTACTTCAGTTAGTGATAATTTCTTTTGGTACAAAACTCCTGGTTTTAACATACAAAAAGCAGGATGCCTATGAGTTGTTAGTTGAATTGCAAAACATAATAGCTTGCCACGGACAGGAAGTATTGTCCTCTATCATACCTAGAACAGTTTTCACTACACTCTTTTTTTTATAAGAACAATTTTATAAGAACACAAGCCTCAAAATTGGTCAGAAGTTAAGAACAAATTAAGAACAAGCTGAGGCTGAGCTTCTGCAAAATGCAATTTTGAACAAAATTTTTTCTCAAAATCGAGGATTTTTAGCGATGTGTGGGTGCTTTTTCGTCGAATATTCAAACTTTTCGGCAAATGAAGGTTGTCTCACTCACTTTGTTGGCAAATGAGGCCTGAACACCTCCCTAGAGCGAAAAAGCTAGCACTCGCACTGCTTACAGCCTATTAGATTAAGAACAAATTAAGAACAAACCAGCCTCAGATTTTCGAAAAAATTAAGAACAGTCAGCCTGAACTGAAATTTACTGGTTCTTATAAAAAAAGAGTGTATTAAACGATAGTTGATGGCCCAAGAAAAAAAGGCTATTATTCAAGAGAGACAACACAAGGAATATGCACATATTACGAAATCAAAAATCGGCAATATTTGAAAAATCCCCTTCTACCTAAACAGCTAAATAGCCATAACGTTTGTAAATGGCTTTGAAAAAAGCAAACATTTACAACATACTTAAAGCTTTTTCGTCTGACACTCCTCAGAGCATAAAACGTCAGAATAGGTTCCGAAAAAAACACGATGGAAAAATATATACCCAGTTGTGGATCGAAATAGGCCAATCAGAAAAACGCAAGCACAAGACCGGTATAGTTGACAAATCAGTGCCGCGAGCCTAAAGAAAAATTACAAATGGAGTCCAAGAGAGAAAACGAACTCCTTTTGTCTACACATTGGCGGCTTTTTCGTTTTTATGTAGATTGACTCCAAAACTGCTAGGTGGAAGGACGACCGGGCTCTGCCCAGGGCCGTCGAGAGGCGGGCCGGGCCCCAGGGCTGGGACTGTCATGGGGCCCCACCGTCGAAGGCTGCAAAAACCTTTTTTGGATTACGCCCTTAGCAATGCAGTTAGATGGACTGTAAAAGGCATGAATTTTGAAATCAACGCCCCTGGAACACTTGAATTTGTATTTTAAGGCCTTTAACAGAACATGTAATCAGTGACTATATAAAAAAAATCATTAAAACAAATCAGTTTAAAAATCAGAATTAATTTAATGTTTAAAAAACTGCTTTTCTTGCTTTCCTCATGGCGAAATCCTTAATCTTTTCCCACAATCTTTTCCAGCTGTCGTTCGCTCCCTAATCATCAGGAGAAGCCAATTTTGATTTTGAACCATTATTAATAGTGTGCTCAAAGAACCTGCATGGCAAACAATAGAGTGCAGCCTTTGTAGGACTGAAAACAAGCCAGCTTCTTACTACCTCCCCATATTGCTGCTTCACATTTAGGACCGTTGTTGGAAATTTGTGGCCGTCGCAATCTATGGGAAACTCTGGAGAATGAGGCAAATGACCAGTTCTAACAACCTTTTCTAACTCCTTTTTCGTTGGAAATCTGGTCAATGTGCCGACATCAAAACTAGATGATCCACTATGAACAGTATCTTGATTTAATGACAAATCGGTAGTGCTTTCTCTACTTTCTGTGGTGTCATGGTCTACCGAAGCAGCCAAGCCGTCTGTGTCTTCTTCTTCTTCAGCAATGCTTTGAACAGAGCTTTCACCAGGTTTATTTAAAGTTGAATCACCTTCCTTGTCTCTTTGTAAGCACCTACCTCAAACAATGTGCGAGAGGCCTTCTTTGCTTCTTTTTCTCGTATCTTTTTTACCTGCCTTTTCTAAGCACCAGACGTGTGCCTGTAAGATGACATCGCAGGGGTTGCTTGGATCGTGATCCCGTTTAGTAATTTTGATAAAGACTTTTATAGCGTTTGGATTTGTCTTGGTTCTTCGCATGTGCTTTCTCTCTGGTCTACACCGTGAATGGAAGATTTACTTTTACGTTTATAGGAAGTCCACACAAGGAATAACTAAAACATCTGACCTAAACATGGGCTCCGACAAAGGTTGAAAAGTGGGGGGCCAAGGAAAAATTTAACACCCAAAACAAAAGATTTTGAAAAAAACTCTATTGTTTTGCAAAAAAATGGGGGGCCCATGTTTAGGCCCCCATGCCAAGGCCCCCCTGACCCCCCTCCTTCGTTGGGGGCCCTGCTAAAAGTAGATATATGTAAATGCAATCGAATTTTTCGGCTTCCGGAGAAGTATATTATGATCGTATCGGCAATGTTTTAATTATAAACCATAACAAGAAAAGGCCCTCGTCATAGACCAGCTTGTTGATCCCATGTTGAAAGATTAAAGTTCGAATATCAATCGGGTCATGGGCCCGCCCTGCCAATGCTGCTAATTGAAAACTCGTAGCCAAAAATACATACCTTATTTTCTACGGGCCCCTCAAGGCCCCGGGCCCCCTGGTAACTACCCTGGTTACCCCCCCCCCCTCTCGACGGTCCTGGCTCTGCCAATTATCCGAAACGTTTGTGTAAACCCCCCCCCCCATTCCCATCTTTGTTTACATAATATGTGAACGTTCCCATATCCAATAGCCAACACATGGATAATTTTATCCAGTTACAACAATTCTGATTAGAAAGAGCACAGGGTAGTAAGGTAGTGCTCAACTAATTTTTTTTCCAAAGTGCGAGCCCTCAGTTATTGGATATCAGGCACTAGGATTAATTTTCATTGGCCATAAGATTAGCCATAAGTCAAAAACTAATATGGTTAGTCAGAAGTCATTTGTTTAACAAAATTATTAGTCATCAGTCAATTGGCAAACAGTCTGCTAGTTAGCTAGTGAAAATCCCTTCTACCCCCTCAACAGAAATCGAATGAATTCAAGTATTGTGCCCTTGCTTGAAAAAATTACAAGCTAACCAAAATAACAAGACGTTTTATACTCTAAGGAGTTTCAGACAAAAAAGCTTCTAGTATGTTTAAAATATTTGCTTTCTTCAAAGTCATTTTCAAAGCAAAATATGTTCTTTACAAGGTTTTTAGAAAATCTTGCAGAATTTGCAGATTGGGAAACTTTGCAATCAATGTTAATATTGCCCAACTTAAAGGAGAAGCTATACTTTTTATGCAAACGTACTTTGGTCATTGTAATCAATTTTAGTTCTGTGAGAAGATTAGTTGCATTATATTATATTATATTATATTATATTATATTATATTATATTATATTATATTATATTATATTATATTATATATTATATTATATTTTGTTTCATAGTTTGTCATATCATGATCTTTATATTTTGCTTTTTTGTATGTTATAATGCCTCCATTATTGTCTAATTATATGACTGTACTTAACTTTATCATATTTTCATTACCGAACTATATCATATCTTTATTAGATTAAATTATATTTTAATTTCCTCTTGTTGCAGGCATATATAATACAAGCTATCCTCGCACTGACCCCGTCGTGATATCTGTCGTTACATCTCCAGACAAACAACGGATATTATTGGGACGAAAAAGCACTTTCCCTCCAAACATGTTCTCCTGCCTTGCTGGGTTTATGGAGCCTGGGGAGAGTGTCGAGGAGGCCGTGAGAAGGGAAGTAAGAGAAGAGAGTGGGATAACAGTTGGCCCTGTAAAGTATATTGCGTCACAGCCATGGCCATACCCCTCAGTAATAATGATTGGCTGTATTTCCGAGGCAGAGGATGAGGAAATCACCGTTTGTAGCGAAGAGTTAGAGGATGCCAAGTGGTTTACAAGATCTGATGTTGAAAATGCGCTTGACGGACCAGGGACACTTTTAAGCGTTCCACCGAAACAAGCAATCGCTCATAAACTTATAGAAGCATGGTTTCAAAGTACACAGGGAGCCAAGCTATAAAGAACGCAGGGTGCCCTTGCAAATAAATCTTCCAAATAAGGATCTTTATTTGTAAATAATTTACAGTTTATGGAAATTACTGTTTACATAAAGTGCTCAATGCCGTATAGGCAGAGCTGTACACGCTATTTGGTGTATAGAAGAAAAATTTCTATTGTATATAGTTTTCAACGGTTGCCACATCAAGCGTGAAGCTTGGAGTAGAATTATCTTGTTCTATACACCAGATAGCGTAACCTAGAGTTTATACAAGTAATGTTCAGTGTTTTTAAACCCAATGAAATAAGAAAAATTGCAGCCCTTGACATGCTCTTCATAAAGGATTCAATTGATTCATTCATTCATTTGGAAATAAACACAACATGTATGGACTCGAAAAACATAACATACTATGATAGGTTGATAGCAAAAGTGCTGATAAAGCAGGCGAGAGAGTGCAAAACTCAAAAAAGAACTAATTAATTACAGAACAATTTTCTAAATATGTTTTTTTATGACTGGATGAGTAAATGATGAGGAGTTACAACTCCAAGGTCTGAACATCAATTCTTTAACATCCCCCCCCCCCGCGCCCAAGGCTTTTAAAGGAAATCAGCTAGCTGGGGAGTCAAAAAAAACGGCACCCCTTGCACCCCCTTTGGCTACGCCGTTTGGCATTGTCCCTCAAATGTTACTCCGGGGCCTGAGCTGGCTCCTAACGGCCTTATAGTAAGCAGGTTGCGACGAAAAACTTTGGTTCTTATGCGCGGGTTTCTATTGCTTTGGCAATGATTACTACAAAATGTGTGTAGCCGAGCTTCATTGTTATAAATGTCAAAGGTTGCCTTTTATGTGATAGCGTATGCACGTTTCTTGGTAAAGCATTTGACCCTTTCTTCAACCACGGTTGCGGCAAAGTTTGGTACCCGTTTCAACATACTTCACCATTGCTCACTAAGAAATATTCTTAATAATTGAAAGATATCACATATCAAGGATCGTTTGAATATCACCATTTGAATATTAAAGTTGCATGTAAACTGAAATCATTATTATCAATATAAATAAAGCTTTTATCCATTTCTAATAAAATATTTTATATTTGTAAATGCTGCTCTGTTCCTTTTTCGTTTGTCTTCCCCCTCAAATTTCCGGGTTTATTTAGCTTCTTCAACAGATAATTTAGCGGTCTTGGTCTAGTCTTTTACAATGCCCTGGTTTGCAGAATTCAATACACTACAACATTGGTGCCGTGGATGGGGACTCCGGGAGGAGGGGAGTCAGCCCCCTTGTTTAAATTAACATATATAAGGTGTGACCATGATTGTGGTTTTGGGTGTGGCTTCTAGAAGTTTCCTACAGAAGGTCCCTCCTTCCCAACATTTTAGGGCGTCACACCTGACTGCAAACCACATAAATGGAGTTAACAATAAAGAGGGGGGGGGCAAAGCTGACAATTTTCCAACACAACACAACACAACACAACACGATTTTCCCGATAATGTTTCGATATTTTTATAAGGTTACTGTTTAAAAAGTCCATGCTGTACACTTTTATCGATAATTAATCATGTTTAACATAAGAATAGTGTGAAGTTTTCGTTTTCAAAGGAACATCTGCCAACTGTTTCCAAATTTACAGCCTCCTAGTGGCGCGGGAAAACCTTTATATGAAAATACGTTTCTCTAGACTACTTTTAAGTTTTTTTCTTAAAAATCTTAAGTTTTATTATTAAAATGACTTCTATTATCATTAAACTTTACTCGAGGCTGACTCTCAAACTATACAGACATTAGCTTGTTTCTCAAACTATCTTAAAGTTTGTTTCTCAAACAATCTTAAGTTTTTATTTTAATGCATTCCTTTCATGTTTTAAATATACTGAAAAATTTTTCTCAACCTAATACATTAACTTGATACAGGAATTAGCTTTAATTCTGTTTCTCTGAGAATCTTTAATTCTGAATTCTGTTTCTTTAATTCTTAATTCTGCATCTCTAATTTTGTTTCTCAAACAAGCATTAGTTTCACTTGTGAAACGATCTTTACTTCTGTTTCTGAAACCATCTTTAAGTTTGTTTCCAAAACAACAATACGTTTCCTTCCCAAACATCGTTAAGTTTGCTTCTCACATCGACAATGATTCCTCTGCTCTTTTTGCAGCCATTTCAGCTTTGGCATTGGCCAACTCACACTGTCGCAGTGACTCTGTAAAAACCAGGTAACTCTATTTATCACAAAATCACGGTAAATTTTCCTGACTCTAATCAATATTCTAAAACAACTTGTTTTGGACAAAGACAATTGCAATTATCAAATAGACGATCGTTTTCTCTCTTACAGAATTTTTGTTTCAATGGGTTTTCATATAACCATAGGAACATCAATACATGGGCGGTGCCAGATGGATGGGGGGGGGGGTGGGGCTGAAGCTACCCTCCTTTTTTGCAAAGAGTGTTTTTAAGAAAATAAAAGAAATAGAAGAGAAGTGCGATTAATCCAGTTATTGCTCCAATTCCAAGGAACAAGTAAGAGATCTGTTAGACCTTGCAAAGTGATGGATGCCAAGACTGAAATGTTTCAAACGTACTAAAAGCACTTCTTAAAAATAGCAAAATTTTAAATGACTGCAAGAAATATTCTGAAATAAATTTTAAGCTTATCTTTGCTTAAAATTTTCTGCCGCCTTCGCTCTCAGGGAAGCCTCCTCTTTCAGATATACCTAGGGATTCCGATAACTTCTCACCGGCCCTTCCAATGTACCGCTAGCATAACGATTGCCCCATAAAATCATAGGCATAAAATATCGTGAAGCATTTTAGCGCGGTTTTCGAAAAATGGTCTTTTAGTCTAATAAAGCTATCAACTCGAGTCCCCCCCCCCCCGAACACTTTGAATTCTGGCGCCGCCCCCTGCAATAGATAAATATTTCTTAGCCTTCGTTGGAGAACTTGCTGGTGCCATGCGTCGATCAGCAAATATTTATGATGATTCACACTTATGTATCTAAAATGCTGCAATTCTACCAGCACATACAAGATGAAGTCTGACAACCTCCTCAGCAAAAAAACTTTAAACTCACACCAACAAGGGGTTACATGGTGTCAAAATTAAATATTTTCCAATCTGGTGTTTCGACATGCAAAACGATTTGCAGAGTGGGTGCGTGCGTCTGGTGACTTGGAACCAAATTCATTGTAAAAATTAACACCTAGATTCTTGTATAGGACAGTAACTCTGGTTACACAATGGTAAAAATTCTACAAGTATACTAAAAACTTAACGCCAGCAAAAAGGTAATGATGAGCTGAGGAGGGACTCCTTATGGTTTTTGGCTGCCGTTAAATTGTTGCAGCTCTGGTACCAGGGTGAAGGCGGGGACACGGAGGCACCAACACCTCCTCTTCCAAGTAGTAGCTGTTCTAGATTTTCAAGTTTAGGGTCTGAGCAAGCCGCGGTGCCTTTTGATGGGATTCTTTAACGACTACAAAGCCGTTGACCAATCCGGAAAAGCAAGCCAGAAAAGGCGCCAATAGGATGCAAAATATGGCATAACTCTAGTCTTGTTAAACAGGGCTCGGAAAAACTTTGCTTTACCTGAGACATCAGTTTGTTGCAAACATTTTCATAGAAACGAAACGGGGGGGGGGGGGTTAGGGGCTGGCCCTCGGAAAATTTTTTAAAATCACCCTATTTAGAATGTCAGAACATGCCACATATCGAAAATCAAAGTTTTTTATTCACAATTGGCATTGGCATTAAGAAGATTCTCAGTCAAATTGACTGTATTTGAAACGTCTACAAGGCTAATAAAATGTGTAGGTATCAAATGATGTATTGCCCTCAACTTAAGGTATCAAATGATGACAGTGGCGGTTTTAAGGTGGGTCCAGGCGGGCCATGACCCCAGGCCCCACGATTATGGTAGCCAAAAGGGGCCCTACACCTAAGAAAAAAGAAACAAATTGTAAAGAACAAGGGCCCCGCAGATGTCTTTAGCCCCGTGCCCCGCAGTCCCTAAAACCGCTGCTGAATGACGATATCAAATGATAGATTTTGAAAGTTGGACGCCCAAAGCCACAACACCTTCTAACCTAATGACTGTGTTGCTCCTGCCTCCACGCTACAGTTACATATCATTTACAAAAGATATGATTTATGATCAGGTTATTGAACATGTGCTCGAAACCGTAGACTTGTCTGAAAGATATCTGATAACATAACTTGGAAAATGGATTTTAAGAGATCTTGCTGCCAAATCTATGATTTGCTGATTGATGGCTCCTTCGGTATGAGAATATGTGCGTAGAAATGGTAAAATGGATAAAGAATTTCTTAAAAAAAGACACAGTCTCTATTCCAGGACAAAAGTTTGAAGAAAGATTGGAATACTTAAATAATAAAATTTGAAACCAGTTTTATCATAACAGCCGGTTTAACTTCCCATTAAGTTTACAGAAGGTTCTTACATGAGGGCAGCAATCCTTCACAAATTCTGTATGAAGTTTTTTAAAAAGTGGTCAAGATTTTTGGCTTCAATTAGTCATAGTTTTTTTAGGGTACAAAACTGGTTGTAACGTACAAAAAGCATGACGCCTTCGAGATTCTAATTGAATCGCAAACTAAAATAGCTTGCCAACAACAGGACGTTGAGAAAGTATTGTCCTCTATCGTACCTAGAGCAGTTTTCACTATTAAGGGATAGTTTATGGCCCAAAGAAAAAGGACTATTATTCAAGAGAGATAACACAAGGAATATGCACATATCATGTCATCAAAAAATGGTATTATTTGAAAAATCCCCTTCTCCCTAAATAATTATTTCAACAACATTTAAGAAATAGCCATAATGACTGTTACCGTTTGTGAAATCCCGCCCCCCCCCCCTTCCCCACCCAATGGCCAACACATCGATAATTTTATCCAGTTATAACCATTTTGATTGGAAAGAGCACAGGGTAGTGCTCAATAAATTTTTCCAATGTGCGAGCCCTCTCAGTTATTCGATATCAGATACTTAAAATAATTCGCATTAGTCATAAGTAAAAAAAACCATTATGGCTAGTCAAAAGTCATGGTTTTCACAAACAGTGTGCTAGTTAGCTAGTGAAAACCCCTACTACTCTCTCAACATATATCGAATTAATTCAAGTATTTCGCAATTGCTTGACAAAATTTAAAGCTAACGAGGTCTGAGAATAGGCTTTCTGGCTGCTACCACATTAACTGCTATCAATAAAAAAAATATGAACAATTTTTTGGCGCTACTAAATTTTAAAATGGCTTTGAAAAAAGCAAAAAATTTTAACATAATAAAAGCTTTTTCGTCTGAACCTCTTTAGAGTATAAAACGTAAGAATGAGGGCCGGAAAGAACAAGATGAAGAATAAATACCCATTTGTGGATCGAATTCCCCATCTTGTTCTTTTCGACCCTTATTCTAACATTATTTGCTTTGAAGAGTTTCAGACGAAAAATATTTAATATGCTTAAAATATTTGCTTTTTTCAAAGCCATTTTCAAAACAAAATATGTTTTTCTCAAGGTTTTAAAAAAATCCTGCAGAAATTGCTGATCAAAATTTCGTCTTCAATGAATTTTCTAAACATTTCATGGAAACGTACTTTAGACAGGAGGTCAATTTATGATTGCAATCAGTTTTAGTTTTATCCGAAGGTTAGTTGCCTTTTGAAAGTTTTCAAGTTTTTGAAAAAATAACTTGGGGGCAAGGGCGCACCGGGAAATTTCCGTGTGTCCCGGTGGGCCAGTCAAGGTTTTGCAACTTCGGGAGTCTTCATTTGGAAAATATATGCTCGTGGCCCCTTTCTTTTTGCGTAGGCTTCTTACTCTGCTGTTACGACCTCGGTAATTTTTTGTAGTAAGTAGTTATCAATGAGGGCCAAAATTTCACTTCCTATATCTTCTTATCTTCTCCAACTTAATTTTGATTTTAAAAATGGGCGGTTCCATCATTGTCCAGCCACCTGAAGGCAGTGGCGGAGCCACGGGAAGGGGGGGAATGGGAGAGACTAGCCCCCCCCCCCACTTTTTCAGAAAGTTGGTCCTTGAGATTCTTGCAAACCTGATGAGAAAACTTCAGGGGGGGGGGGTTTGTACGTTATCTAGATCTTCACATGCAAATGACATTTCTTGGGAGACAAAAGGTGTTTCCTCCGGAAGAAAAAATTTCAAACAGGGGAAAAGGGCGTGGTCCCCCAATTATCCCAGGCTGGAGCCGCCACTGCCTGAAGGACGTGCCGTCAAAGTCCAATGTCCAATTACCATCTAACACCCCTCCCCCAATCCTTGCCGCATAAATCCTTCCTAGACTATGATATGAAACGAGCCCACACATTGAACCACATCGCCATATAAAACGACTCTACAAAGTGAACCTTCGCTAACCCAGATGTGAAACAACCCCACCTACTTTTAAACGGAATAATGTCAACTTTCTAACCTGTACCATAATGAAGATAGAAACAAATAAGAGAACTTAATTGCAGCAGCCTTAACAATCCTGAGACTACAGGCGGGACCGGGTGTTTACAGGTAGCAAAGAAGAAATGCAGGCTTCAAAAACGAACGGAGGCTCCTTTTCAAGTTTAGAGAGAATTGTGAGAATTATTTAGTCCCATTTCAATAGCAAATGTTGAACAAAAGTATCAAATATTGAACAGAAGAAATGCAGGCTTCATTTCAAAAAGCAGGGTTCAGGCTTCAAAACCGAACGGAGGCTTCAAAACCGAACAGAGGCTGAACAAAAGCCAAATCTCAAGGCAGCAATCGCATTAAGGAATGTAAAAATAATGGGACTTCAGCCTGTACGATTAAACATTGTCTTGAGCCAAAATATCTTACTGAAAACATAAAATGTTGATAGACCCAAAAAAAGAAATTTTGAAGATAAATGCACATCAGTTGACTTACCTTCAAATTTCTTTTCATGGCTGTTAATTCGCTCATCTGGTTCTCCGTGCGAGCTTAAAGACTTGGCTGGTGTGAAAAAATTGAATTAATTATTCTAGTACGAAATATTGTATTAATAAATTATTGTATGAAGCAATACAGTTCTGGGGCTACAACGACCTTGAAACCATTCGATAATAAAGAGCCAAATTTAAAATTAATTTAGATCCTGAAGCATGGATTGTTGAATTTTTTTAATTGAAAACTTTCTTGATGGAATAGAAATATCATTTTCACATACTGACATATCATGGACAATTTACAAAAAAACATGGTTGCGCGGTCGATGGCCATCAGGAAGGTTTTGAAAACGAAGAACCTTAGATGCCAAAACCAAACCATGCCTTTTCACTACTGTTGAAAAAATCTTGAAAATGGTTATAAACGAGGATCTACATTGCAGCTTTAAGGTTACGGTAAACGTTTTTGACACGATATTTCGTTTCCTCTCCCTAAAAACCAAACTATTAACGGAATCAGATTAAACTATACACCATTCAATGCACAAGAATGTGGCGATTCCAGCCATATAAAAATAATTGGCAAATATGGTAAAATGATACTTTCCAGGCAAATTTATTGCTCAAATGAGTGTTCAAAAGCTATTTTGTACCCTTGCGTTTGAGGTATCAAAATCTGACTTATATCAGCTGAAAGTGCAGATCCTAAGCTACCAAAAAGTGTCTCAGATATTTCAAATTCCTTCTCCCCTTGAAACTGTACCCTGTCAAAAATTGGCAAACAATTTTTCTTCCCTCTCATAGCTGTATTTGGCTATAAAGGACGGTCCAGAGCAAATGGAAAAATTTTGAGACACACTTTGCTTACCGGACATCTGTCCTGGCCGTGTGCAAATTTTTGAGCCATTCGATTGGCTCCTTGGTTACAAAATAGCTTTTTCGTACCTGTATGTAGAGGATTTGCGAGTCCGGAGAAAACGGGATTTTACTGATCTCAAGGCTTTACCACAGCATATCAAGTGTCGTGAACGGGTGTTAAAAAACGTGTTTTTAGAACCATTGTTACTTACTTGATGGGTAAGGTTCATTCACAAGGGAGACAACAGCCCGTTGGCGCGTGCTACTTTCAATACCTATGGGCATAAAAAATGCCGAGTAATAAATCATCAACATATATGCAAAGCACTTGAGAATTGGCGCATAGGTATTAGAATTGGCCCATAGGTATTAGAATTGGCCCATAGGTATTAGAATTGGCCCATAGGTATTAGAATTGACCCATAGGTATTAGAATTGGCCCATAGGTATTAGAATTGGCCCATAGGTATTAGAATTGGCCCATAGGTATTAGAATTGGCCCATAGGTATTAGAATTGGCCCATAGGTATTAGAATTGGCCCATAGGTATTAGAATTGGCCCATAGGTATTAGAATTGGCCCATAGGTATTAGAATTGGCCCATAGGCCCATCAGTAGTGAAATTCAACGGGAATTCAAAGGTCAGGTTTTCGTTTCAGTGATGCTTCGAAAAAAGCTGGCTAAAGGTTGCCCAATCAGTGACGCTTGCGGCTTGCCTATTGAAAATGTTACCAATGGATTCCTAAGGTGGAAAAAAACACAACGGTATTTTCATGCTTATGTAGGTAGATTCTAAAACTGCCAATAATTCGAATCATGTCGCCATTATAGTTTCTGGGACAATTTCGGTTTGTCAACATTACCAAGATTCAGTCCTCCTAATATTCGCAAAAAACTTCTTATTCGTAAAGATAATTAAAATTCTTTACCTTTAAATGTTTCATCTAGCTGTTCGCAAAGGTCTTGGAATTCGCTTCCTTTCCCAGAAAGAATTTGCCCTGAAAGCATGAAAGTATGTGGAAAATTCAAGAGGAGCTGGCTTTCAAAGCTGGATTGCAAAGTTTCTAGCACAGTAACTGAACCAATCAGGTCTTCTTAAAAATATACTACTGTGTCAGTAATATAATTTAAAAGTTTGTCTTGTCTATAATAATACTTTTATGTCAAACTCTCACGACTCTGGAAAACATGAAAATCTTTTTTAGAATATATGCAGGTATGTACATTTTCTGCGAACATGATAAGTTGAAAAAGAATTGGCTTGTAAAAGATACCCTTGATTAAAATGAAGGACATTCCCAATCATAGAAACAGGAGAATTTGCAAATAACCAAACCGTTTAATGTCTTCAGGTCAGGAAGCAAGTCCATGATCTGTTGCTTGTAACTCTCATTGTTTTGACAAACTATAAGGAAGATAAGTGTCACGACTAATTGGCATAGAACCTGTCAGGAATTTTCAAAACATCACAAGCACGTTTTAGTTGGAGATAAGATAACACATTGGTTGTCATTGATTGATGTCCTTTGCAGGTTTCCTTATAATTGTAAACAACACAATCCAGGAATGATTGCAGTCCCTGTCATACGCCAAGGGGAGGGGGGTTTTGGTGGCGCTGTATCCCCCAAATATACATCGGCACATCAAGGATTTTTGCTGGGCAGAAGAAGAAATGTTTTCTCATCCTGTACTATAATTGTAACGTATTAACATTTCTGTAGCAGTTGTATTGATAAGTTTAAAAGGACGGGGACCTTACCAATCATAAATAAAAAGAGTCCTTCATTACACACAGAGACAGCTTTGTGTTTTAATAATAATCACATGTTATTGTGTAGAACAAGGCTACAATCCCGGACAAAAATACTTGAGACTTTTCAAGAAAAATGTTTTCTCTTTCTTTTGAAAAATAGCTTCCCCCCTTCCCCAATTCAATGTTGAATGCATGATTTTGAAGCAGAAATGATAGAAGTACAAATCCAACATTGCTTCAGGGGGAAATGGGGGGGGGGGTTCGAATTTACAGGGGTAAGGTAAAGTAGAAAATTACAAAAATTGCATTTTGTCTCAACATTTTTGTCCAAGGTTGTAGTTAATGAGAGCCTCGTTAATTATAGAATATAGATAAAACGAAAAAGGACAACTTGGGGATCTTCGCAAAATTACATAGAAGCAAGAAAATTTTCTTTCTGGCCAAATGGACAAAACTTGAGGATTTTTAGAGCAGAGTGGAATCAACCTGGGTTCGAAAGTCCTTCAATGGCGTCACTCAACCTCAAGTGTGCAAATTTTTCCAGTTTTGTTAGAGGCCACAAAGAATCTACACTGAAAATATAATAAAGATATGTTAATATCCAAAAAAATTGAAGACAGATAACAAAGATTATGCAAAAAGCTCTATTGTTGGGTAAAAACAGTGTTGTGGGTCCCCTTGTTAGATAAAAAATACGATTTCAACTACTGAAGCAAATTTCGGGACTTTGGACATGACTTTGTAAAACGTGCCTAAACATGGGTTCTATAGAAAAAACTATCGAACGTGTTAACGGATTATATCAATTTTTTCGTATTGGTTCTGTCTACAAATTACATATTTGATGAATGCATTTTTTGACTGTCTTTCATGTAGTTAAAATAAAAAAAGTTATAAGATCAAACTTTAGCCGCTGTTTCTTTACGAGATTGCGTCCTATCTTCTCAGGTATTCAAAAAAAATTTGTGCTTGAGGATATTTTTTGTCATTATACCTGCTGATGAAGTTCGAGCACAAATCGAGTGTAAACAAAGACTCCAGCTCTTCTAGGCCACCTTTAGATGTAAAAGAAGAAAATGTAAATTTTGGATAACATAAAAAGCTCGAGAAGATTAATCATAAACAGAACCGTCGCTAGCTATTGTGCTAAAGGGGGGAGGGGGGGGGGTGCTCCAATCCCATTTGCAAACAGAGTTGGTGACCCATGCTTTATCGGCCGATGAATCTGAAAACTTGCCGACGAATCACTCGTAGATAGGGAATTGCTCAAATTTTCGATGCAGTTGATACTGAACTGTACTCGCTTTGGTGTTTAAAAATATCCTCGTTAAAACAAAACATCGGGAAACATCTTTTAGACAATACAAATTTTGCAAAACTCTATAATGACGACATGTTTCGGATAATTGGCAGAGCCCGGTCGTCTATCCATCTAGCAGTTTTGGAATCGATCTACATATAAACGAAAAAACCGCTATTGTGTAGACAAAATTATTATCATTTTGACGATTATCAATTTGTTTAAAGTATGCTGCCAGAAGTGGTAATTCTTTCTTCGCTTTCTCAGTGATTGGACAACAAAACAGGTCATGTGCTTGCGTTTCTCTGACTGGCCCATTTCGATTCCTGCCGGTCGCCCCCCCCCCCCTTGTTCCCCCAAGTGTCCGCCACTGTTTTGAACAGCCAAAAAATTGGTCACAGTTTAAGAGTAAACTAATTTTATTCCTTAAAGTTCCCATCAAAATCTGTTTTCACTTACTAAGATCTGAAATTCTGTTCCGGGACATCTTCAAGATCTGTAGCTGTTTTAGCGGTGCTGAAAATTCAATTCAATAAAATTCAATTCAATTCAGTAAAAATATTAAAGTGCAGAGGTTATAAAAACGACGAAGAAAATTACGTATTCTGTGCAATCTAAAAACAGCGAGGCTTATCCAGTTTGGACAGCAAAAAAAGTTTTAAAAGTTAACAAAACTTGATTGCTACAAAGGGGCATTCGAGCACACTTGTTTTTGTAAAGGTTGTACAAGAACATATTCAAAATAGATTGAGGGCGAAGACAATGAGCGCAATTCAATCTTCACTGCTTTTCTATGAAAACATTTAGCAACAATGAAACTTCGTGATAGTTTTTCGAAAGTCCCATTATGGCTAAATTTTGTGCCCGTATATTTAAAAAACCTTTGGCACAGAAATGACAAAAAGGACGCGTCTCACTCTTCAAGAAGGTGGTGATGATATAAAAATTCTATGAGCTGGGTTTCTGCGTTTTAAATTCAATATTCAACATCCGAAAAATTCAATTTCAAATAAATTTTAGTGCCAAACTTTGACAGTTCAGCTGTTACAGATATTCTAATATGTTACAATTGTTGCAAAAAATTTCGATTATATTACAGGGTGAGAAAAAATTCTTCTTTTTTCCAGCAAAAATTCTATATATGCGGACAAACAAAGATTTGGGAGAGAAGTACAGTGCCCCCATACCCCTTTTGGCGATACCCCTGTTGTTGGGTATATAGCTGGAATAAGGGAGAAAATGAAATCTATCAGTTATAAGAGGGTATCTATCGGAATGACTCATCGGGAAAAACATATGTATTCAAGGGATGTGGTACGTAACATAAAAAAATCAAATATGTGTGCCACAGCTAAAACAGTTCATGGAACAATTAATGAAGACCTACCCAAAGGTCGAACACTTGAAATGCTGTTTGCTGACACGTCAAGTACTGTCAAACCAAGACATTCGCCAATGCATCCAATATCAAAGAGACCTTCAAAAAAGAATGATTTTTCAAATTGCGAGATATAACACGAGGTAAAATGGGAAACTTAATGTGGTAACAAGGGCCAGGGATTGGTCGATATGGAGAAGCAATTGAAAATGGAAAAGTCTTGGAAATGGAACTTTTCTAGGGAAATGAGAGAAAAGATAATAGAGGGAGATTAACAGTGAGATACTCTAAGTCAAACGACATTAAGAAAAGACGTTCAAAAGTTAAAAAACGAAGAAGAGATCTGGAAAAAAATTAAAAAGAAATCGAGATTAACCAATTAAAATGTTATCAGCCCAAGAGGAAAACATTCGAAAGTGGGAAAACTGTGGAAAGGGATGGTAAAAAGTTATAAAAAGAGGGCGGCATAAAGGATTTGTATGGCAAAGAGCCCAAGGGGAAGGCGTTCGAATGTGGGAATATTGTGGGAAGGGGTGTGAAAAAGAAGTAAAAAGAGATCGACATTGAGCTATTGAAAGACAAAGGGCCCAAGGGAAAGGCGTTCGAATATGGAAATATTGTGGGAAGGGATGTGAAAAAGAAGTAAAAAGAGATCGACATTGAGCTATTGAAAGGCAAAGGGCCCAAGGGAAAAGTGTTCGAATGTGGGAATATTGTGGGAAGGGATGTGAAAAAGAAGTAAAAAGAGATCGACATTGAGCTATTGAAAGGCAAAGGGCCCAAGGAAAAGGTGTTCGAATGTGGGAATATTGTGGGAAGGGATGTGAAAAAGAAGTAAAAAGAGATCGACATTGAGCGATTGAAAGGCAAAAAGGACCCAAGAGAAAAGCATTGGAATGTGGGAATATTGTGGGAAAGGATGTGAAAAAGAAGTAAAAAGAGATCGACATTGAGATATTGAAAGGTAAGGCATTCGAATGTTGGGAATCATGTGGGCAGATGTGCTAGCTGAGGAAAAGAAGTACAAAAGAATGACATTGAGCTATCTCGAAAGACAGAAGCGGCAGAGGAACAAGGCATCTCGAATGTGGGAATATTGTGGTGAAGGCGATGTCGCAAAAGAGTAAAAAGAGATGGAATTGCAGGCTATTGAACAGGCAAACGGGCAGGGAAAAGGCGTATCCGAATAGGTAAGGAATAGTTAGTGAAGGGAAAATGGGGTGAAAAGAAAGTTAAAAAAGAGATTCCGACATTGGCTATTTGAAAGACAAAATCGCGCGCCAAGGGAAAGGATTTCGAAATGTAGGAGCAATTATCTGTGGGCAAGGGATGTGACAAAAAGAAGCAAAAAAGAGATCACATTGAGCTAGTGCAAAGCAACAGGGCCCAAGGAAAGGCTATTCCGAATGTCTGGAGTAATCAGTTGTGGGAAGGGATGTAGAAAAGAAGTAAAAAAGAGATTCACATTCCTTGAGCTACTTGAAGGACAAAGGGCCCAAGGGAATAGGCATTCCAATGTGGGAATACTTGTGGGTAGGGGTATGTGAAAATAAGAAGTAAATTTACTT